TGGCTCCTGACGGTACTTAAAGTACGTAATGTCCTCATAATATTACTTCTAATAACCTGTTAAAATATAGGCTTTAGTCATCATGGTACTTTAAGTACCGACATGCTTAGGCTTCACGGTAATACTACTAGAAAGTTATTTTGGTAAAAAAAAATTAAAATTAAAAAAAAAAAGAGTATGAATGAGCTTTATGAAAGTTTGAAGTTTTTTTTTAATTAAGCAAAAACTAAAGTATGTTTATGATAATTTACCAAAATATTTTAGTATTTTGTTTCGGTTTTCTTGAGAATTAGCTCTCCCAAGTCCATCACTTGCGATTATAAGAGCCCACTAAAGATGGTCACTTTTCACTCCGAAGTGGAGGTAGGGAAAGGAAAGACACTGCCACCGAATTTAAATCTGCCCATCCAAATGGGGACCTGATTCTCTACCATTTATCATGGCAAATTCACTATAAAGGTGAGATGGTATTTCATGCTCCAAATATGGGGCAATTTGTAATATGCTTTCACTTTTTGAAATGCAAACATCACATGGATTATGAGTGACTTGGTCGTGCTCAGGCCTCAGGTCCACTAGGGTGTTGTTTATATGCTCGACCAAGTCTTTTGATTTGACTCGCCTAGATGATTGAAGTGAGACTTGACAACTTTCTTAAAAATTGATTATATGGTACTTAATAAAGTGGTGAGGTTTGTACATGGTGCCCATCTTGTATAATACAAGTGAGGCACACATTTAAATTTTGTTGGAAGATGTGGTTTCGCTATCATAAACCTTATAATGGCTTGAAAATATATGTTTAACACTAATTATAAAAGTTAAAATTTCAAAAATAGGTGCACGTCAAGCGGATATGTAAACACATAAAAATGTTGAAAATAAATTACAAATTGCACCATTTTTGGAACATTATTTTTTTTTTCTTTATATTTCTTCGATATGATTAATTGAAAGATTTCTAAGGTTTGGAACACTCTGTCTACTAAATGTTTGAGGGGCACCTTACTTTAATAATATAAGGTTGCAATATTATATAAATATTTTTCTATATTAAAGGGAAGAAAGGAGAATGACTTATTCACATAAGGAAAAAGTTTATATAAGGTTGCAATCTTAAAATGTAGAACTAAAGATGCACCTCAAAAATCCGTCGAACAGGTTGTTTTAATGTTGAAAAACCTTCTAATTGATCATTTGGACATTGAGATATATGAATATGAAAAAAAAAAAATATTTTGAGTGTCACAAATAAGGCATCTTTCAACACATTATTTGGACCGTCTATTTTCAAGATTTTAATATATTTATAAACCTAATTTTTAGAGTTTAAACTTTTATAATTAGATATGAAAATAGATTTTAAGATAATCCTAAAAAATTTACACCAAAATCATTTGTAATGATAAAATTTGGATGTGCGCCTTAATTGGATTGGTTAAGGTTGCAACCTTATAGAAATCACACCCTATTCATAAATATCTTCTTTTTGCACTGTACTTATCGTGAACTGTCCTTTTTCAAAATAAAAATAAAAAAATACTAGCGATTAAATATTTGGATAAATACAAACTTGTAAAATGGTCCAAAATGGATCCCAAATCCAAGTCGTGACATCCATAACTCTTATAACTGAACTTGTTCCAACAGTGGGCCATGGAGTTGGTGACCCTTTTATGTTTATATGATTCCATTGGAGCGTGCATATTGTAGTAGCAAAGTTTATATTTACTCCTCGGCAAGGGACCCATCCGCAGGTCTTTTAACTGCAAATCTATCACTAGGGTTTTTACCTTGAAATTTGGGATTTATTTTAGATTGAATATCTAAAAAAACAAAAAAGAAAAAGAAAGAGAAAAAGAAAAAGAAAAAGAGAGAGACTTGGATCATGGTCTCTAAATACTTATAATTGATCATAAAAAATGTGCCTATTGAAATTTTCATTTTTTAAATTTTGTAGATAGTTTTGGTAGGTTAAACTTCTAAAATTAGGATCCTTAAAATACTTGTAGCTAGGTTTTGGAGTAAATGTACACTTGGCTCCCCCCTATGGAGCATGTAATATTGGGAAAGTTATGGAAAAATCCTATTATTTTCAATAGCTGAAATTATTCTATTATATTTTATATTTTATGCTCAAATCCCAATTTTTTGTCTTTTCCTAAATTACCCCAGTTTAGAGATCTTGTGTCCTAACTTGGGTTTTTTATTTGAGCTGGAGACAAGTTTGGACTGTAGATGTAAGTGGCCAGGTTCAAAAGTTGGATATCTAAACTCTTTTTTCACTCAAAACAAATGAAAAGTTAGAGAGAGAGAGAAGGTGTCCATATCAACTCACTCTTTTATTTTTTGGTCTCAATTCAGATATCTAACGTCCGAATGAACCAACACTAAAAAGGGGTAAAGTGTTTGAGTCAAAGATTGGTTTAGATATCCAATGTCTGAACTGATCTTTCATTATAAAAAAGGCGAATGGTTGGGTTTGGATAATCAAAATCGACATCCGAAGCAATCCAGTTGTAAAAAATGGTTCAAACATCTGTCGTCTGAATTAATCTTTCATTGTAAACAAGACTTTTGTCCGGATTGTGGATCTCTAAACCGGGGGTAATATGAAAAGAAAAGCATCAAAATTGAAACTTGATAGAAAATATAAAATATGCGAGATTATTTTTAAATATTAAACAATAAAAGATAATGAATACCTGCAATTTTTATGTGCTATATCATTTGCTTTGAGCCTATCTGCTAGAAAACCATTCCATTAATGGGACACAATGAATCAACACCTATGCATGTCAAGCAGTAGTACTGCTCATACACTTACGTACTTTCGAATTTTTGGGACATGTTTGGATGACAATTAAATGTAGAGGCAATCACCCTAGACAGACCACTACCTCTCTCCTATAGATAAAGAAGTTAGCGTCTTTTGAAAGTTTTTTGAAACAGTAGTTGGTGATGTCCCAATTGGCCTTACTCATACCACCCCCTTATACGTTGTAAATTACACCCTTAGTATCAAAATTTTATATATTTGCAACTATCCTCAAAGTAAAAAAAAATAAGTTTTTTAAAAACAAAATACCCTCTCCGAGTCTGTCTGACACATTTTTGCACCGGACATACGAATGTTAGGAATCATATTTTGCAATAATGGGTTAAAGTAGGGGTACTTAAGTAAAAAATTCATTGTTTTACTTGAGGAGTGGTTCAAAAGAAAAATAGTGTTGGGTTAAAAGCAATGTCGTTGGATTCGCTTCGGGGTCTTTTTCGATTTGGTGAGAAAAATAAAGCAATTTGGTGCTTTGGCCGATTTAGGGGGAGACTTTGTACTTTTTTTACTTTATTTAATATAAATAAAATAGATATTTATATATAAAATATACAAAAATAAATGGAAATTTTTTTAAAAAAATTAAAACAATTGAAAAAACTTTTATATAGGTATTTCTTTCCTGATCGAAGCAGACCCGAAGCAGCCCGAAGCTTTCGGATTTTAAACATAAACCGAAGCGAAAAGAAGTGTGGTGCTATCGCTTCGGTTAGATTCAGGCCACTTCGGGCTGTGCTTCTATTTGCTTCAGGTCTGCTTCGGCCAAAGCTTCGGGCCGCTTCCTTGGTCAAGAAAGAAATACTTATATAATTTTTTTTAAAATTTTTCTTAATTTTCTTAATTTTTTGTTATTTTTATATATTTTATATATAAATATCTAATTTATTTATATTAAATCAAAAGAAAAAAAAAATACAAAGTCTTTTTTCTAATCGAAAGTACCGAATCGCTTCATTTTTCTTAACAAACGGAAAAAAATTCCAAAACGAATCCGACAACATTGCTCTTGACCACTTTGAAAGTAGGTAAAGAGCTTTCCTAATTTTTGAGACACCTCTAACCGCTTAACATATGATGGGTGAGAGTGATTTAAATGGAAGGAGTATATCCCCCAGTGTAAAATTTGAATGGAGTTCCCCCATTTAGAGTTGGTTAGAATGTAAGAAGGAGCTTTTACGTTCATATTACATGAAGGGCTTTCGCCCAAACAATTTGTTTGAATCCGTAGAGGCCATGTATTGCAACCCCCATTCAGAGCCCTTTTGTCTCCACAATGGATACCAGCTCACCGAAACAAACAAAACAGGCTACGTTTTAGAGAGAGACTCATGAGTCCTATTCCTAAGAGAGCTAGTTTTTAGAGAGAGACTGATGAGTGTTATTAATAAGAGAGAGAAAGAAAGAGAGCTAGTCATTAGGGAGGGAATGATAGTGTTATTAGGAAGAGAGAGAAAGAGAGCTAGTTTTTAGAGAGAAAATGGAGTCTTGTTAGTGAGAGAGAGAGCTACTTTTTAGAGAGAGAGAGAGAGTGATGTCTTAGTAAGAGAGAGAGAGAGAGAGAGAGGAGGGAGGG